TATTATGGCAAAGGTGTTTGCAAATGTTTGCTTTTGAGATGTGTTTGTGATATTTTGAATGCAGTGCTGTTCATTTTGCAAGAGATGTGAGGCATTTTGCATTTTATGTGTGCAATTCTTGGATTTGTGTGTAAAGTTTGGAAAAAAACTAGGCGAAAATGTGTGTAAGCAGTTAAAAAAACCTGTAATTATTATACTGATTTCTGAAGATCATGTGACACTGAAGACTGGAGTAATGATGCTGAAAATACAGCTGCGCATCACAGAAATATATTACAGTTTAACAGATATTCACATAGAAAACAGCTGTTTTACATTCTAATAATATTTCACAATTTTTACTGTATTTTTCATTATTTATATATATTATTTATATACTTAACTATTGCAAACTTTCAAACAGTAGTGTATAAACACCTCAATCAATCCAACAGAGTTCGATCCGGTTTTGTTTGTATCAAAACAAATCAAAATAAGAGAACTTTAGCCTAAAAATAGAAAAATATCTATCAATGAGATCAGAAAAAAAATCTTGTTTTCCCTTTGAACTGAGTTTATTTTTCTTTAGATATTTGTCCTGGAAAACAAGACAAAAATACTGTAAATCTCAGACCACACTTCTAGTGCAGGGTTTTATTGTTAACTAACACTAAAACTAGTATTATTATAATTGTTTTTGGTTACACTTTATTTTAATCTGTCCTTGTTACAGAGTAATATTAATTAATTACATGTAAATGGTTAAGGTTTGACTTACTTGCATGTAATTATACATAATTAATTGTTATTATTATAGTAAATACATGTAACGTGTGTAACAAGGACACCTTAAAATAAAGTGTTACAGTTTTTTACTCAAATAAAATACAATAAAATATATATATTACACGAAAACCCAAACTAAATGAAAATGACAACTTTTGCCTTCGCAACTACGTGAAATAAGTTAAACTGAAGCACTAAAATAACTGAACTAAACCTCAGAACTCACCTGTACATGGCTTCAAACAGGTCTTTGGAGTTCACGCCGAAAGCCTTCTCATACTGGTTCTTCCCTTCTCTGAGGAGGAGGAGTTACGAGAGAGAAGAAGGCTGACAAACATCAGTCAAGATAGAGATGTTTGTGTATGCAGAGAGTTTCTCACCGGACGGCGTCGCTCAGGTAATGCCAGCAGAGGTAGATGGTCCTGGAGCTGTACTCGATCGACTGACACAGAGACCTCAGGCTGGACTTGATCAGAAACATGCTGGACATTTCTGTGTTACTGTAGAGAACTACATGAGGAATTAACCACAACACACTTACATTCAGCTGTAAAGCATTAAAGCCTTTCAGTACAGAGGAGAAACTTCACTGTAAATGTGACTGATTAATACTTGTTCATTCAAAATAATCGTTCATCAGTTTTACAGTAAGTTACTGGATAATTCTGTGTCTCTCATTTGATTTAGAAACCATTTTTGCTCAGAAATTGCTAGTAAACGTCACAAGTAATTACAAAGAACCTGCGAGTAACATTGAAATAAACATGAAATTTTGAAGTAGAAAACCTAAAACAGTATTTTTGTGTAAAGTGTCTCCAATAGTCCTTATTTACAACATTATTTCAAAAACTTAATTAAAACCTTGTTACTTGAAATGAAATTAAAGTAATTTAAATAAACTAATATATATATTTTTTTAAATCGACTTGGTTTAGTTGCAAAAGCAACATTTTTCATTTTCATGATAATGTACTAAAACAACTATAAAAATAGAAATAAAAAATAATAAAGATGGCAAAAAAAACTAAAAAATGAAAATGAATTTGAAAATAAATATTAAAACATTAAATATTAACTAAAAATATAATAGTCTATAAAAATAACACTGGCTTAAGGGTAAATACACAGAAAGTTTCTATTTTCTCATTTCTTCACATTTTTCGTTTTTTTTTTCATTTAACTAACACTGAATAACCTAAAACACTAGCACTGAAAATGAAATGAAAATGTATAAAAACTATATATATATATATATATACAAAAACATAAATATAAAATTATTAAAACTAAGTAAAATCATTTTTTAAAAGTTCAGAATAGTCATAAAAACTATAATAGCATGATAATTACACTAAAATAACACTGATAAGAGATTGAAACGTTTGAATATGTCTCTTTTTTATATCTTTCCCTTTGAAATATTTATTACTGAAATATTGTGTTTATATGTTGTCACGGTGCACTACTGCGAGGAAACGAAGGAGCGCGGAGACGAAAGAGATCCAGAACAGAAAAACTCTTTAATGAAACCAAAATAACAGGGAACACACGCATAGCTCACGGGGTAAACATTTGAGACTAAACGCAGGACTCAGGAAAACACAGAGCTTAAATGAGGTATGTGGGGGTTCTTGGCATGGGGTGAGCTGGGGAGACAACGTTTTCCAGAGGGGGCTGGACGAGGAGATTTTAAATGATCCTTTACCTCTTCCACTTGGAAATTGGAACAGTTTAAATAAAGGACATCAATCAGCTCGATCAGGGGAAAATAAGACGTGGGGAGATCGCAGCAGATCATATCATCGTCCAGCCCCAGCTGGAAACACGCACTAAGAGCGGTGTCGTGTCAGCTCACCTGGTTGGAGAGCTCAAGGAATTTCTCCACATATCTCTCCACCCTCCAACCAGCCTGCCGCAATCACCACAGCCTGTCCTCAGCCTCTGTCATCTTG